GCTGCTACACTTGATGAAAAACTAGACATGAGCCTCGATAGGGTAATATAATATTAACATTGGAAATAGAGGGAATTGGGTTGAAGTGGCTTAACAGCAGATTTGTCAGATTGTTGCAGTAAGCATGATCATCCTTGGTGATTTGAATTTAGTTTTGTTCTGTATATCCTGGTACACTTTGCTTTTGTCTAATCTTGGATGCGTGGGGACAAAACCATACCTCCCCCTTGAGATTTTGCTTTGAGTAAAACCTTTGAGATATTAAGCTAGCCGACCATTATGGTTTCTTGCCTCTGGAGATGCATTAAAGATTAAAAGTTCGATTATGGAACAACAAAAAAAAATTGAGATTCAGATGCAGACCATGTTTGGCTCTGTTTCTTGGCTAGAAATGGCAGTGGATATAATGCGATTTTACTTTATCAATTTTCCATGTCCTCTCTGGAAATTTTAAATTTGTGAAACTGTAACAGCTACAGTGTGACATAAAATTCCATGTTGAATTAATCAATTGGAGATTTTTCTTTTGAGAAGTCATTCATATTTAAAAAATACAAATGATATGAGCCATCTTTGGTTCTGCTTTTACTTACTCTTGCCATTCATTGAAGAGGTCACTGTAGTTCAGAGTGCAAAGTTATCTGTTGAAGGAGAAAACCCTTAAGTATCTTGCCCCTATTTTTCTTTTATCACATAATTGATTCTTAAAATGAATTTTGTGAGTTGGTAATCAGATGAAAGGATGTTAATTTTTATTCTTCTTTCTATGTTCATACTTATTAATCTTCTTTTATCCCCTGTGCTAAGGACAAAAAAAAACCAAATAAAAGTCTTAAGCTAAAAAAAGTTACAAAATCATTTTCTGGTTGTATAACAATATAATTCTACTCTTTTAAAAAAAAAATATAATTTTACATTTCATTTATGTCTGAATGATGGTATGGGAACTGATTTTGGGTTGTCCATTGTGCTTATATTCTCCAATTAATAAAGAATGTGCTTCTGTTCACATCTCTTTTTGGATCACTACCGCGTGCAGATATTGTCCATCTGTCTGTCCATCTCTCTTTTATAAGTTCTCATGGAGAGAATCGAACTTGTTTTGTCTGATTTTTTTTCCTCTGGAGGTTGGGTAATGGATGAATGTTCTATTTATTGATCTATTTTTGGTTTTTGATTTTATCTGATATGTTTACTGGTGCCAAATTTTCTTCCTGGAAGGGTTGGATCACTGCAGCACCGCACCAATTGATGCTCACAGAAATCTGCTAATTGATGAGGAAGAGATTTCATTCCGTAGGTCTATGACGGACAGGAGAAAAGTACCGAGGCATGACCTAAAACTGGATAGATTGTCGGAGCGCGAGAAGGTAGTTGATAGAATCACATGCATGTGCTTCCAAGTTTTCGAATTCTTATCTTTTCCAGCAAATTTGGTGGCATTGGAAATACAAACATAAGTTAAAGCTTTTAGCAATCCACATGCCATATTCTTGTGCTGCAACTTCTGTATCTTAAATATTTTTTCCAATTTATTTTTGGTTCGAGCATAACATTGTTCTTCTATTATGCCACTCCAGTCCCTGGTTTTATACAAAAAGATGAAGAACGGTATACAAAGTTACTGATATCAACTTCACTTTTTAACAACTTCTGTAAATGTTGTTGATAAATTTCCTTTTTCTTATTAATTAACTTAAACATTAAAGCATGCTTTATGTTGCTCTGATTATATTTGTGGTTTGTGATTATTTCTTCATTTTATTTTTCATGACTCCTTTTATGTTGGTCTTCAGAAAAAACTGATTGTGGAGCTAGTCAAAATCCAAAATGATGGGACAGTGGAAGTTGATATTGCTAGAAGTTCACCTGTAGCTTCAGAGTTGTTAGAGCTTCATTCTTTTGAAGGGCCACCCATTGATATTGATGAGGCTATCTTTTCTGAATCCAAGAAATCAGTTCCAAGGTTGAAGATTGCAATGCTTATTGTAGGAACACGGGGAGATGTACAACCTTTCTTAGCTATTGCAAAGAGACTCCAGGCAAGTTTACTAGTGCTAGTATCATAAAGAGACTGACAAAAGAGGTTCCTTAAATTTAATATAAATGGCAGGTTGATCCTCTTTTATAAAAAGAAACAAAAACCAACAACATTTTTGCTGTTAGAACTTTAACACGAACAAAAAGCAATGTAGGTCTGAGCAACATGACAAACAATGTATTTTCCCTAAACTATCTTTATAGTTTACTTAATATTAATTAACTTCAGCATTAATCATTACCTTTGTCCCTTGGAAAGTAAAAAAGGAGTATATATTTAAATGAGGGGGCAAACTCTGTGGCTGCTAGATGCTACATTATATGATAGAAAATTATTTATTGTTAAAATACTTTAGCATCAAATTAATAGAGTTAAGTCTATGTTAGTAATTTATATAAAATACTTTAATGCTCCGTTTGAACATGGGACTAGAAAATCACTTTTATTAATTAAAGTACTTTTTTGTTAATCTCCCAATTATTGTGTCATGTTTATTTATTTAGTAGAAGAGTGAGCTTTGGTAATATTTGGATACATACATCACATACTTTAGTTCATACCATGCTTATGGAGAAATTGATTCACACTTGCATGTGTCTAGTTAGGGCGGTTTGCAAGGTCATAATGAATACATTTTTATAGGAATAGCAGAACCTGGGTAAATCCAATGTGTATGTCTCTATGTAGAGGGGTTTGGAGGATACCTCTCTGTTGGTTTATCATAACAAATACATTCTTATAGGAATGCCGAACCTGGTAAAAATTTCACTTTTGCAATTTTATCTTTTTACTTGATTTGCTGCAAAAATTGTTCTTGTTTGCAGGAATTTGGTCATCGTGTTAGGTTGGCAACTCATGCAAACTTCAAGTCTTTTGTGCGCTCGGCTGGTGTGGAGTTTTACCCTTTGGGTGGTGATCCCCGTGTTTTGGCAGGATGTAAGAGTTTCCTTATGCAACTCTATAGATTAGATAAACTTCAATGCACTTTAGTTGCCTATTTCTCATCACATATCTTTTTATATTATTGGTTAATGGTGGAGTTAGATTTACAATGGACTGCACACTTGTTAAAAAAAATCCAATTGTTAGTGTAATTAGAAAAAATTTAGAACCCAGATATTGTGACCCTTATAACTATGACTATGCAGTACTTAATCTTTTAATGGGACCCTTATAACTGTGAAAGCAGTGAAAGTGGTTGTTCTTAATCTTCTTTTTTCTCCTTTCAATATCAAATGTTTATACATCTTTTCTACATGAATGGTTTTAAATTAGATATGGCTAGAAATAAAGGTCTCATCCCATCAGGACCTGGAGAAATATCAACACAGAGGAAGCAACTGAGGGCAATTATTGAATCTCTTCTTCCAGCATGTACGGAGCCTGATATTGAAACCAATGCACCTTTTAGAGCTCAGGCAATCATTGCAAATCCTCCCGCTTATGGTAAGTCATACAGTTTAAATGTGTTTGGTTATTTTTGTTGATTTGTGGTTCATATTAAGAGAATTTATCATTCACAATTAGTTCCCATTAAAAAGATTCATTTGTCAGGCAACCCCCCATGCTGAATTATGTTTTTTCTGGCGTAATAGTTGATTACAGGTTTGCTGGGTTGAAGCCCTACAGTACTGCACCTAGGGCCTAAGTCAGTTTTTAATATAGGGACATTCTTTTAAAATTGGAAAAACCCTAGTAGTAAGACTTGGTTCTTCATATAGTTAAAAAATTTATTTCATAGGTGGCTTTGTTGAGTAGGCACATTGCTGAACCACGTTTATTTTTTTTCCTTTCTTTCTCTATCTCGTTACTTTAATCTCTATGTGCATGGGTGCTTTCACAATATCTCATGGTATCAAAAGTTTTTATTTTAATGTATTATGTAGCCTTTTCTCTGTCTTTTAGAATTAACTGTCATATTAATGTATGTCACTGCCCAGAGTGGCCTTTTTTGCTTGGGAGGGAGGCTGCTGGAGAGTGTATCTTAATCTTGAATAAGCTGATTAGGAGGGGAAGAATATTGGTAAATGGCTGCTACCCATGCAAGAGAGATGCGGAGTCATGTAACCATATCTTGTTGTGGTGGCCTTTTGCTTACCATGTGTGGACTGTAGCCTATGGTCTGTTGAGTATCAAGTGGGTGATGGCTGGTTCTGTGAGAGATGATTAGGGCATGGAATGGGAACTATTCAAGATAAGAGGTCTTCCAGTCTTATTCATTTGGCCACTTTTGGGTTATCTGAGAAAAAGGAAATGGGAGAGCTTATGAGGGGAGTAAGAGACTGAATCTAATTTTGATAACTCCAAAGACATTTGGTTCCAGACCTAGGCTTTTTGATTAAGGGTCATCCTCTTTATTCTTGGGGGCCTGATAGATATTTTCTTGACATGTAAATTTTCATAAGGGTTGCATGCTCTTGGTTCTTGTGAATAAATGATATTTTTCTTTAAAAAAAAAAATGCCATATTGATGTGTTTTAATGTGCAGGTCATGCACATGTTGCTGAAGCTCTTGGAGTGCCACTTCACATCTTTTTCACCATGCCCTGGACGTGAGTTGATTAGTCTTTTTTGGGGTTTTCATATTATTTTATTTATTTAAAAATTTTGAGGATTGAAACTGGTAGTTGAGATAAAATGATGTTGCTTTTAGAAGAATATGATATTATGTGGATATAATTTGTGCTAGCTTAATGAAACTTATGATATTGTCATGATTTCATTGAAAGTGTACGTTGCATATGAACTATTACATTTTCAAATAGACAAGAATGCAATGCCATGA